AGAGGGAAGGCACGATTTATTTAGGTGGGTCAACCAATGAAGAAAAGAAAAGTAATCTGCCAATAATAATCGGTGTTGTAATCGCCGTAGCGTTTGTTCTTATTATCGCATATGTGTTCATTGCTATTTTCTTGGCAAATCGTCGCAGAGCTAGGCTGCAAGTGTTGGCATTGCCTACGTCCACAGGTATATACATTGAGCCTCTTTATGTGTTTTGTGTAATTTATGTATATAGTGATTATATTTGATTCATTTAATCTAAAGATATATGAAACTAATTTGGTCTTGACTAATCTCTATGTAATCTAAAGATGTGACATTTTATATGTTTAACGACAGTGACTAATTTGGGGACCGGAGCATCCCCTCTATACGGACAACAGATGGGCAACGATTCAAAAAAGCCTACAAATGATGCGGACATAGGAGAAATCGGCGACATAATTGGAGTGAACCAATCATATGTAGCGCAGTGACACTGAACATCATGTGAAATATATGTTTTGCTTTCCATTATATGTGTTTCCAATTATTTTTTTTCGGTTTCAATTTGCAAATTTTTTCATTCTTCTAGTCGTCAATCTTGTTGTCGATTAATTATTTCGGTTAAGACTTGAGAGATAAACAATATTTTTACTTTTATCTATAAAAAAATTCATTGGTCAAATGGCCATTGGTTTTTGATATTGTGTTGGACGCATCTAGCTTTTCGTTAGAGCATGGATTTCAGTTTAGATCGGATCGTCAACTAACCGATCAAATTACATTTAATAACTGCCGAGCAATTCGTTATTTGTCGAACTTCTTATCTATTATTATTACCCCTATGCATAAGTGCATAACCGTTACAACATGAACGTGCAGCCGTTTACTTTAACGTCTATGTGCCATATAAGAATACAAACGCCGTTGACTTTAATATGTCCACTCTATGCTAAGTGAACCCAAATAAGTTGGATCCCAACAAAAGTGACCGCCTTCTACATGACTACATGTCTTAAGTAATGGCTCAAAATTGTAAAACAAGGTCAGTGATGTTGAAATATAGTTAATTAACATAATATTTAATCACGGCGAACCGAAAAAAACGATATGTAGACAGTAGACGTTAATATAAATCAAAATATACCAGAGTTTACTAGGCTTCTATTAGTTCTATATATTATATATATCATTACCGTGTTGAAAATATACTATTGAGAAATACCTTAAAAATGAAAAAAAAAATAGTATTCATCCCAAACCTAACACATTAAGATTAAATTATTGTGCGAAAATATTTGTTTACCCAAAATAATTTACAAATAAAATTAAAATATTAGTCAACTAGGTAGGAATACAAGAATGAAAACATAATTAGGAAAATAATTGTGATGTGACATTATGACTAATTCTCTGTAACTGTCAGCAAATATTTTTATGTTTCTACCCTTGATTTAGTGTCTTGAGAAACACACGTTATAACTTGTTGTTGTGTTATCTATATATTTAATTAATTATCATGGTATAACTTATTGTAACTTATTTCTTTTAGATATATCGCTAACTTTATATATAACAAAAGTGTTATATCGTACGCTTAAAAAAATTTGCAATGCTTAAAACAATCTCTATATTATTATTTAAGTAGACATTTAAAAAAATAATCTTTATTTTATAAAATATTACATGATATGTCATTACAAATGAAAAAGAATAATTAAAATAAGAAATAATATAATTGTCTTTCAAATCTATTGAAAAAAATATGGAAAGTTTTTGTTTCTCATTTAATAGAGTATATTTATTATTTGATTTTTGTACTAAAAAATATGATAGTTTTTTATATTTTTTGTTTCAAATGATATCATAAATTTTATTTAATTAAAAAAACGTGGAAATAAAAACAATTTCACAATTAAATAATATAAAATTAAGAGTAAAAGTTATGATATTAAAAAATGGTGAATATTTTTACTATAATTTGTTATATTTAATTGATTATTTACAACAAAAAAAATTTAGTTATTTTTACAAAACATTTGACATGAAAAATTTGATTTTTAATTAAAAAAAAGTTTGTGGTCAAGTGAAAGTTATTAAATGGTGCATATTATAATTAGTTTTATATTTTAATCCAGTACAAACATGTTAAGTAAACGGATTAGTTTTGATATGAACGGATCATGATTCTAATTTTTTAATATCCACCAAAAAAATATTCGCAAATCAAAATTTTTTTTTTTAAATGGTATATTTAATCTACTAAATATTATAATTTTTTTTAAAACTAAATATAGTTTATTGTATTTTAAGTAATTTTATATAAAACCTAAATTTATATTAATATTTAAGTAATCTTTATTTTGTAAATATTACATGATATGCTATTACAAATAAAAATAATAATTAAAATAAAAAAAGATATAGTTGTCTTTCAAATCTATTGAAAAAATATGAAAAGTTTTTGTTTCTCATTTAATAGAGAATATTTATTATTTAATTTTTGTATTCAAAAATACTGTAGTTTTTTATATTTTTGTTTCAAATGATATTATAAAATAAATTTAATTAAAAAATGTGAAAATAAAAAACTTTCACAATTAAATAATATAAAAATCAAGAGTAAAAGTTATGATATTAAAAAATGGTGAATATTTTTACTATAATTTGTTATATTTAATTGATTATTTACAACAAAAAAATTTTAGTTATTTTTACAAAACATTTGACATGAAAATTTTGATTTTTAATTAAAAAAAGTTTGTGGTGAAGTGAAAGTTATTAAATGGTGAATATTATAATTAGTTTTATATTTTAATCTAGTACAAACATGTTAAGTAAATAGGTTAAACTGATCATGTTTCTAATTTTTTAAATATCCACCAAAAAAATCTCGCAATTCAAAATATTATTTTTGAAAAAATGTGGTATATTTAATCTACTAAATATTATAAATTTTCTTTTAAAACTAAATATAGCTTATTATATTTTAATTAATTTTATATCAAACCTAATTTTAAAAAATATTATATTTATTTACATATATAGTTAAAAAAGATAAAACTGATTTTTTATAATTTGTGGACAGATTATAAAACTCAGTTATTAAGCAGTGTAAATTATATTTGATGATTATAATATTATATATTTTTGTATATTAATGTTAATAATATATTAGTCTAATCCCAATGGATTAAATAAACAACTTATTTTGCTTCACCCGCTTATAAAATAACTTCATATCCGGATTAGTTCAAATTTTTTAGAATTCAAATCAAAAAAAAAATGACTCTACATACAGATCAACTCATTTTATAAAATTCACAAAATAACTATTTTTGTAAAATAACTGTTTTTGAAAAATAATTGTTTTTACCAAATAATTTTTTTTTGCAAAATTATTTAACGTAATTAAATTTCAAAAAATTACCCCGCGCTACAGCGCAAGTTAATCCCTAGTTCTATAATAAAACCATAACATTATCGTGTTCAATTATATCTAACAAGTTAAGTTACCATATATAATAATTAATAACTTGAGAATGACTCGCGGCAGCGTTGTAAGGCTGCTTAGAGTCTTTGCCAACTAGCCGCACCGGAAAAAAAAAGCTTACAATACTTTCGTTTAACTTGTATCTAA